CTATCTTATCAAGTAGTAGGTTGTGATCTACTTTGTCAAATGCCTTACTGAAGTCCAAGTAAATTATATCCACAGCATTCCTCTGATCCACTAATTTTGTCACTTGGTCAAAGAATGCAATAAGGTTTGTCTGGCATGATCTGTTTTTGACAAACCAGTGTTGGCTTTTAGTAATGAGTTGGTTTGCCTGTAGGTATTTGCTGATTCGTTGTTTGATTATCTTTTCCAGAATCTTCCCAGGTATTGAGGTTAGGCTGATAGGTATGTAATTTCCTGGATCCATTTTTTTCCCTTTTTTGAAGATGGGAACTACATCAGCTCTTTTCCAGTCCTCTGGTAGTTCCCGAGTGTTCCAGGATCTTTGAAAAATATAGTTCAGTGGTTCTGAGATCACATCTGCCAATTCCTTGAGAACCTTGGAATGTAATCCATCTGGTCCTGGTGATTTGAACTCGTCTAGGCTGGACAGGTGCTCACTTACCATTTTCTTGCCTATTTTAACTTGTATTTCTATTCTGTTTTTTATGGCACTATTTTTGATAGGTTGGTCTGCTTTTTCCCTTTGTGTAAAGACAGATGCGAAAAATGAGTTAAATAATTCTGCTTTCTCCCTGTTGCTTGTCACCTTCTTGCCACTTTCACCCACTAATGGACCAATCATTTCATTCACTTTTTTCTTGTTTTTTACATGTTGAAAGAAGCTTTTTTGTTATTTTTGACTTTGGTCGCAAGCCTTAGTTCATTTAGAGCCTTAGCTTTCCTCACTTCATCTTTGCAGGCTCGGGCTATTTGCTGATATTCTGACTTAGTTATGTGCCCCTCTTTCCACTTTCTATACTTGTCCTTTTTATCTTTCAATTTATCAGAGTTCTTTGTGCAGCCATGCTGGTTTCTTTTGAGAGCTGTTATTTTTCCTCTTTGTTGGTATTGTACTAGACTGGGCTTTTATTATCTCACTTTTCAAAATTTCCCAAGCATCTTGAGTTGTTTTCCCCTGGAGGATTCTCATCCATGGAATCCTTCCCAAACCCTCTCTACGTTTATTGAAATTAGCTCTCTTGAAGTCCAAGACTCTAGTTTGACTGTGTTCTAGTGCTTGTGCTTCCATAATGTTGAATTCCAATATTGCATGATCACTTCCTCCCAAGGTTCCTATGTCTTCAACACCTTCTATCATTTCATCTCTGTTAGTGAGAATTAGATCCAAAATGGCTAATCCCCTAGTTCCCTTCTCTACTTTTTGGGAGACAAAGTTGTCTGCTAGGTTTGTCAGGAATCTGTTTGATCTTCCACTTGGTGCAGAGTTTGTCTCCCAGTTGATGTCAGGGTAGTTAAAGTCCCCCATTACTATTGTGATGTGCTTCCTACATACCTTAGTTAGCTGACTAGCAAAAAGTTCATCTATTTCCTCTGTTTGGTTGGGTGGCCTATAGTATACACCTATGGCAATGTCATTTTTCCCTTTTTATATTGACCCAAATGCATTCAAGACAGTTTTCATCATTGTTGTGCTCTATTTCTGTAGATATGTAGTTATTTCTTATATAGAGAGAACTCTACCTCCTCTTTTATTTGGTCTGTTTCTTTTCAATAATTTAAATCCCTCTAGCTGTGTGTTCCATTTGTGGGTTTCATCCCACCATGTTTCCGTAATGGCAACAATATCATATCTGCCCTCATTAACATGAATTTCTAGTTCACCTTGTTTGCTGTTCATACTCTGTGCATTGGTGTATAGACATTTGAGTCCTTTATAACCGGCCCGGTGTTTACTTTCTACATAACCTGTGTGGTGCCTGAGTTCCCCTATTGTCTTACCATCTGTTTGGTTAATGCACTTTGTGTGGCACTCACTATTAGAAGCTTGATTTTGCTTGACAGCAAGGTTGATGTTCTTGTCCACACACACATCTATGTTACATGCACTGATAGCCCTATAATTTTTAGATTGCCGGGAACAGGAATGTTCTGTATCAGTTAGCTCACTGTCCCCGCTGTTTAGTTTAAATATTCCTCCAGAAAATCTGTGAATTTATAGCCAAGTAACTCAGTTCCTTTCTTTGGTGGATGCAAACCATCTCTTTTATACATTTTTTCATTGGACCAGCTGCTGACATCGTGACTAATATATCCAAAGCCTTCCACTCCTTTAGCCACATACTGAATTGTGCTATACGCTGGCCTTTTCCATTTTGGTCCTTATACACTGGTAAGACCTCTGAAAAAATAAGCCTACAGCCTATTCTGCTAAGTTCCTGCCCCAGGCTCTGGAAGTCATTCTGCACAGTGAGTACAACTTTTTGGGACAGATCGTTAGTGCCAAGATGTACAATAACCTCCACATTACAGTTCTTGCTGGCATTCTTGATTATTTTACAAATACGCTTCTTGTCCCTGCTGGCAGTAGCACCTGGAAGATACCTGGCCTCTTTCAAAACCTCTGTGTCCTTTCCTAAATTTACATCCCTTATAATTGAATCACCAACCAGAAGATGGCTTCTCTTTTTGGGTGCCTTTCTGTTCTTGCATGACTGATGTGTAATACCTGATTCGCACTTCTCCCTGTCGAAAACAAGTTCTTCATCTTGGACCAAGATCCCCTGCTTATTTGAGTTATCATCACAAATACTTTTACCTGTCTCCTTAATGTCCCTATTAAGGTCAGCAAGGGCACTGTATCTGTTGTGCAGGGACACATCGAAAGCTTTGTTTTTGTGGTTCACAGCTCTCATCCTGCCAGATCCCACGGTTGTCCACACTGCCCTTCTCCTGCAGGATCTTTGTGGTAGAGGGGGCTGATAGCGCGGAGGCTCAATGGAGTAGAAGGGCTGAACCGGACACCTAGTTTCTGCCTGAAGAGCAGATTACAGACCCTAGATAAATAATCTGTCCTTGTAGACTAGTGATTTGTTTACAGATAGGACAGTTTCCAAGATTGAAAAGGGTACTGCGAAAGATAGCTGCAAAACAAGTGTTGCACTGAACCATGCCAGACATTCTTAGATACAACGAATCTCAGATGCAGTTGCCCTGACTGTACCGCTGTTTTGATTTTTAGTTATATAATTCGCACGCCGTTAGGCGCGCGGGCCACTACGTTTTCAGCTGATAAAACTTACAATTATAGCAAATCCCAGCAAGCACTGGGTAGTTTGAATGCAATAGATCCAATCAGCAAGGCCTCAGCTACATTTTGAGCTGTACCCGATAAAACTTACAGTTATAGCAAATCCCGGCAAGCACTGGGTAGTTTGAATGCAAGTGTTTATATTCTTTTCTTTAATCAAAACAGACAATTTAGCCATCTCTGCCAACTCCATCAACTTCTGTAGCCATTCAATCCATAATGGGAATTGAAATGTCCTTCCATTTTTGTGCATACAGTAGTCTTACTGCCGTCAACATATACAAGATCAAAGTTCCCAAAAAAATTTCCAAGTCTTTTTCTATTAAAACCAAAAGAAAAATTTCAGGTTTCATCTTTTATCTTTACTTTAAGGATTTTCTGTATTAAAATATGAATCCTTCTTTAACATTTCTTTGCTTTATCACATGTCCACCATAAGTGGTAAAAGGTCCCTTCTTTACATTTACATCTCCAGCATTCATTTGAAATATCTTTGTACATTCTGGATAGCTTATTAGGTGTTAAATATCAATGATACATCATCTTATAAAAGTTTTCTTTTAAATTGTAATTCAATGTAAATTTTAAGCTTTACATCCATATATTCTCCGATTGTTCCAGCATTACATTATATCCAAATTTCCTTGCCCACTGTATCATACAATGTTTTATATGTTCATTTTCCAAATTCAATTTCAATAGCATTCTATAAACCTCAGCAATTATAAGTTCATCACTACCTCACAATGATGTTTCAAATTCATTTTTAACAAAGTCAAGCCCATAACTTTTTATCTAGTTTAAATCTTTCTTTCAGTTGTTGATATGTAAACCAATGACAGGCATAAACCTCTGATTCTAACTCTTCTCTCGATTTAAGAGCAGGGTCATCCGAGCTGAAGAATATTATTTTACCATAAGCCCACCAGTCTAGTTTTGCAACCATTTCTTTTCTAAAAAAAAAAAAGAAGAAGATATCCTTTGTCATCAGCACTGAGGAAATGGGCACTGAGGTGAACAAACAAAAGCTCTATAATAATTCAGCAAGGTGATTTGGGAAGGACAAAGCTATTGCTGTAATGGCGAAACCTGCATGCAAATTGTTGGAAATTTGTATGTTAATTCGTTACTAATCCCAGCTATATTGTTGGATTTTTCTTTTGATATTTTTAAAACCTAACATTGTAACAAATCCTAGAGAAAAATATTGGATTTAAGTTTCTATTCCCCAGTTCTATTCCATTAAGTTTAACAATGTTTTCTGGAAATGGTAAAAATAGTTTTTAGTTAAAGACTAAAAACAAAAAATGTTTTTGCTATTTGACATGCCAAAAACTATTGTCATTCATTTCATAGGAATGCAGCCTGCCTTAACTTTAAAAAGACAATACTCTTTTTATTAAGGTGTCAGCATTAGTTCCTTCAATAGTCCAGATGTTTCTCCTATTACTCTTCATATAAATTTATTTCCCGAAAGAATAGTTCCTACTGGAGGAAATGAACAATTGTTTCCTGCTGCTTTTCCAATTTGTTATATGAGAAGGCATATAATACAATTGTTATGTAAGTCTTGAATTTTTCAAATGTACAGTGTATATACTAACTATAAACTTGTGAAAGCCCAGTAAAGGAAAAACTTGTCTATTTAACACTTGCAAAGATTTCACCAAATGAGGTGTCTGGCTAATAATTATTAATATATCAACAGAAAATTGTAATAAAATAAAATTATGCATAGCAATTCCCATAATATTATCTGTACTGAAAAATACATTTCACACGTATCACATTTTAAATATTTTTATTTTTGTAAAAAATATTTTATACACAAGGGCCATGAAGTCTTTCACAAGAACACACAGCTAACATTGTGGTATTTAACGGATTTAATGGTACAAGGAAAGTAGTGTTATTTTCAAATATATCACATACAGAACATAAAAAGGATGTACTTTAGTAAAATACAGGATGTATTTTGACATAATTCAAAGACAACTAGAAAAACAAACACCATAACTTAGCAAGGTGTACAGATCAGGTCAACTATGAGAAATGTATTTATTTCAGTTGTCTTCTATTTCTACTACATTGTTCAGATGGCTCATAAAGTTAATACCATCGGTGCAAATGGGGGACAATTCTTGCAACTTCAAATGTGAGCATCATTTCTTAATAGTATGACAGGCATCTTTTATGATTACACTAGTATAAGTTTAAAGCTTATATTCAGATTTAAATCATCTGGACTGTACTACAAAGAATACAGAAAGAAATCCTCATAAGAATAATTACATGGTACTAATCAAAACAGTATGAAAAAATATATTACTCTAACCTTTCTGCAATCTAATTGGTCAATCGCCTTTTGGTGTAACAATTATTTTAGTGCTGCACCCAAAGAATCTCAGAATTGGAATTAGTGGTTGCAAAATTTAGCAACTGTTGCTATATTCAGAAGTTAAACTTACAAAGACATTAGGAGAGAGAGAACTGGCCATTTAATAACCAAAATTATTGTCTATTATTGAAAAAAATACTGTCCATGTTTAAGATGTAAATTAAAATACAATCAACTAAAACCTTCAAATTTTCAGACATGCCCAAATAAAATATACTGCAAATATTTAAGCATTTAATGATTTTCTATTTCCACTGTTAATTTTGCTTGATGTGTTTGATAAATCAACAAATAATTAATATTTATCTTTATAAGTCTAGTCTTCACTGACAAAAATAGTGCTGTTATCTGAATTCCAACTTATATAATCCTCTTTTAGCATTCCAGCTGTAGGTCTAAAATGTTAAGTTGCACTCCACTCATAAAATACTACAACTACTACTACCGTGTATAGTCATTTATCAGATGAAGATTTCTTAAATTATAATTTCAGAATTCAATAGAGAGAATAAAAGGGAAACAATTAAAAGGATAAGTGCAAAAATATTCTTTTTCATCATACTGATAGAATGAACTGTTTGTTCTTTACTCTAATTTCTGTTCTAATTGCTGTATACAGAAATACTTTTCCTAAACTTTTCATCTTTTTATGCATATTCAGTTGCACATTACAATTCAATATATCTGCCTCACTGAGTGCAGTGTTTATTAAAAGTCCCACTACGTGAAACTGTTCATTTATAGAAGTAGTTGAATTACTTGCAGCATTATGCCACATCAAATAGTATGTGCCTCTATCCCTCTTTAAATGAAGACTTGAAACAACTGCAGGAACCGCAGTGATCATCTCCGTACTCATATTTTTATTGGGAATGAATACAAATTAAGAAATAAGACTGGAATAGATTACTGTATTTTTCAGATGTTAGAGAACCATTATTAGAGTAACACACAAATTCAGAGTCTATAGTCAAAACATAGTTTATGCAATTAGTGCACATTTTAAAAAATATTATATACCATTAAAGTTGCACTGCAAATGATTATCATCAATGCTCTGGCATCCTCAGCAAATATTCAAAACTTCATTCCACCAAAAGCTGTACACTATCAGTCTGTTTCTGTGGTTGCTGCTGGTGGTCATATTTCCTTGCTAGAAAATAAATACATTTAGATATTAGGCTGCAATCCGAATGTATTTACTAGAAAGTGATCCACACAGCATCAATAAGGCTTATACCAAATAAACATACATGGTATTGCTTTCTAAATCTTTATTGAGAGATAAAATCTTGTGTTGGTTGAAATAACAAACTGCAGTGTAAGTTTATTAATTTCCAATACAACATTTTGGACCAAAATTAATCATTTCTCACAACTACCAAATGTACATTTTTAATCACAAAGAGAATTCTGTTGTTCGATACTGAATTATAGTAAATCCTAATAACAGCAGTAAGCCTAAGATCTTCAGCAGTTATAAACTATATAAGAATAAAAATATATTGTTTAGTTGGAGCATCAATTTACTGTTAGGTTTGATTTTAATAATATACATGCAATCTTTTTATATTTTCAGAACAGGGATATAATAGAAACACATCTATTCTAAGAACCAACAAGAAAAGTTACTTACATTTAAAAAAAACTCACATTGCTTTAATTTTGTAAATTGAAGTCTGAAAATCAGTTTTCACTTAAATATAGGCAGAAAATAGTCAAAACTATCTTATATTGATTAAGTCAGGAGTGTCAAACTCAATTTCATTGAGGGCCGCATCAGCATTGCGGTTGTCCTCGGGGGGGGCGGGTAGGTGTGGCCAGGGTGTGGCCTACTGGGTGTGCATGGCTGGAGTGGGTGTGGCCTACTGGGTGTGCATGGCTGGAGTGGGTGTGGCCTACTGGGTGGGCATGGCCAGCTCTTCCTTGTTCACATCAAGGTTGTCTGTGGGGGCCTGGACAGGAGTGGGACAGATCTGAGGGTCTCTGGCAAAAGGGGGTGGGACCGGGCAAACGCCAAGGCATGGTCCACTGGAAGAGCCTCACTGTTCCTCTCAGGCCATGCGAGGGGGGGCTGGATGGTGCTGCGGGTTTCCCGGAGCGCTGGGCAGCAGAGGTCAAACACACAGCCCGGCCCTCAAGCACCCACGGCACCAAGCCCAGCCCCACTTCCCCAAGGGGGCACCCAGCTGCACTTACCTCCTCCTCAAGGCTGCTGCTGCTGTGCTTGCTCTCCTTAGCCAGGTTGCTCATGATGGGTACGAGGGCAAAGTCAGAGGGAGGCCCATTCCCTCTCCATGGGAGGAGACCCGGCTTTGTATCCAAAGCTTCCTTAACAATAGGATGGGAGACCCCCAGGATAGGCCAGGAGGAGGGGGCAAGGAGATGGTGAAAGGGCAGCAGGGCAGGACTAAGGCAGGACTTCCCTCAGACCCTCCCTCCCTCTCCTTCCTTCCTTCCTTCCTTCCTTCCTTCCTTCCTTCCTTCCTTCCTTCCTTCCTTCCTAAGAACAGAGTGATGAGAAAATATTTGAGATGAGGGAGGGAGAAAAACAGGCAAGAAACGCAGCTGGGGAGGTGTCACCCTTCGTGAGGAATGAAGAAATGCACCATCGCCTGGAAGTGACCAGCACATGGCCCTCGCCTACTTCACATATCTGGCTTGGTGGGCTTTGGGGGAGGGGACACCATGAGCAACGTGAGAGTC